CGGTCACGGTCATCTGATTTGCACAGTGTCATGCATCTGACCAAACATGCTCCCCCCATTGAAATGCTTGCATTTCAATCTGAAGTCGGTAAAGGTGCAATTTTATGAACTGCTCTCCGTACGATGCCCTTTGTAGTTTTGATGTCCACAACCCTCACTTTGCCGTCTGAACCGGGAGTGATGTCGATAATTCTGCCAAGTGACCAATGCTGTGGGGGCAAGTTCGCTTCATGGATGATGACCATTTGTCCAATTTCGATGTTGGCTTCCGGCTTTAACCACTTGGAGCGTTGTTGTAGGCTGAGAATATAGTCGCGAGCCCAGAGTTCCCAAAAACGCTGCTTCAAATGTGTCACCCTCTGCCACTGCGTTAAAGTAGATGCAGTGTTGACATCGATGTATTTGTCTGGCATCGATAATAGTGAGGTTCCAATCAATAAATGAGCTGGAGTTAACGCTTCTCCATCATTGGGGTCACTTGAAAGCGGTGTTAGCGGACGAGAGTTTAAGATGGCCTCAACTTCAATCACGACGGTCTGCAACTCTTCAAATGTAAGGTGTGCGCTTGACAGGTTTTTGAGCAAGATTGATTTCATAGATTTTACCGCCGCCTCCCATAGGCCACCAAAATGCGGAGCGCGAGGCGGAATGAAGCAGAACTCGAAACCAGTCTTCGTGCTGTAGCTAGTAAGGTCATCAATTGCCGCTTTATTGAAAAAGTTCTGATGAAGGTCCTTCAATTTCGCCTGGGCACCGACGAAATTTGTGGCGTTATCGCAGTAAATGCGTTGAGGTATGCCCCGTCTGCCTATAAAACGTTTAAGACAAAGCATAAAATTATTAGTCGATAAGTCAGATACTAATTCTGCATGTATAGCTTTAGATGCGAAGCATACGAATATCGCTATATACGTTTTGTATGGAGCCCTGCCGCGAATACGATGGGTCGTAGCGAAAGGGCCGCAAAAGTCAACGCCACTAACAAGAAATGGGCGGTGCATTTGCAAGCGATTGGCAGGAAGATCCCCCATAATTTGTCCCATTAATTTAGGCTTGTAATAAAAACAGTGGACGCAGCTTTGTACAATTTTCCTTACGATTTCACGAGCGTTTATCACCCATACTCGTTCGCGCAACAAACCTATTAAAACCTTTGGACCAGCGTGCAAGTGCTTTCGGTGTAGGTAATCTATGAATAATGTTGTGAATCGATGATCTTTCGGAAGAAGCGCAGGAAATTTTGCATCGAAAGGAATAGGTGCTTTCGACAATCGACCACCGACTCTGAGTACTGAAACTGTCACTCCGTTAATATCCATTTCCTGTAGAAAGGGAGTCAGCTTCTGTATGTACGTTTTCACCTGCTGTCGTTTTCGAAGATTTTCAATTTCTTCAGCGAATTCGATCTTTTGTATATCTGCGACGATTTTCCAGAAGGCCTGGTCCAGTTCGGTAACTGGTAGATGAAGTATCATTGCTGGCGTAAGTTGATTGTTGACGGCAACTTTGTTGAAAACGCGAAAGATGTATGCGGCTATGCGAAGTAATCGGTAGTATGATGAACAGCGATTGATGATATAATCGATGATATTTCCCTCGTTGCTGCTTTTGCTACACTTGAGATTGATTGCTTTTCGGCGCTCCAAATCCTGGTTTCTTATGTTTGTTTCCTTCTTGTTTACAGGCCATTCAGAACAATTTTTTAATAGAAATTCCGGTCCCGTGAACCAAATCGTACCTACAAGATCTTGTGCGCTGGAGCCACGTGAAACGATGTCAGCGGGGTTTTCCTTACTTGGTACATGTTTCCAGATAATGCCCGTGGAAGTTTGCTGAATTTCAGAGACCCTGTTTGCAACAAAGCAATTTAATGTCGAAGCATGAGTGTTAAGCCACTGTAGCACTATCTCTGAGTCAGTCCAAAAGAATATTTTAGTGCTAAACTTTGATAATTTTTTGTGAATTTTTTCCCAAGTTCTACTCAATAATAGCGCTGCACAGAGCTCCAAGCGTGGAAGCGATTGGGCTTTAATCGGCGCTACCTTTGATTTTGCAATAAGCAAGGTTGTCTTGTAGGCGCCATTTACGATAGAACGTACGTAAATGCAGCACCCATACGCGCGCGTAGACGCGTCTGCGAAACCATGAAATTCACAGTCAGCATTGGATGTTGTGTGTACGTAGCGGGGCAACTCTATTGTATTAATAAAGTTCAAATCGGATTTGATCTGCAACCAAATATTATGTAGCTCTGGTGGTAGAGTTTCATCCCAATCTAGTCGGCGAATCCAAATTTCTTGCATTAATATTTTGCCACGTATGATCACGGGGCTCAATAGACCGAGGATGTCAAATATCTTGGAGATGATTGATAAAACGGATCGCTTGGTGACTGAATGCATATCTGGCAATTCATACCTATAACAAAACGTGTCGGCTGACGGTTTCCAAGACATACCTAAAGTTTTGGTAATGTTTTCCTCGTTTGTTTTAATTTGGACTTCATTACAAGATGCATCCGATAACTCCGCAGAATTCGAGTGCCATTTAGTCAGCGAGAGACCATGAGAGAGAAGAACTTCTACAAGTTCCTCTTTTAGTTTTTGCAAATTGTCAATGCTTTCTGCACCAGTTAACAAATCATCGACATAAAAGCTTTCACGAATAGCAGACGCTGCTAGTGGATAGGCATCTTGGTTGACGGCAGCAATATGAAACATACTGCGAATAGCGAGGAATGGTGCTGAAGCCAAACCGTAAGTTACGGTTTTGAGTTGGAACAGCTGTAATGGTTCATTGGTTTCGTTCCTCCACAAAATGAGTTGAAAGCGTTGATCTTGTTCGTCCACTAAAAATTGCCTATACATTTTTGATACGTCGGCGGTTAATACGTAAGGATGCAAGCGAAATGATAATAATGTATTGATTAATTCTGGTTGAATTGTCGCTCCAACCATGAGGATATCATTTAAGGAACGATCGGAAGTAGTGCGCGCTGAGGCGTCGAATACGACCCGAAGCTTGGTCGTAGTACTTTGTGGCCGGAGTATGCAATGATGTGGAATTACATAGTGCGAACTATTAAAATCGAAATTTTGTATAGCGGACATGTGCCCAAGTGCAATGTATTCTTGTATGAAATCTGAATACATGTCCCTTAGTAATTTGTTATGGGTTAGACGTCGTTCAAGAGCGAGAAATCTCCTCCTAGCATTGTAAAACGAATTGCCTAATATTGTAGGCGAAACCTTAAATGGCAACCGAACTTGTACACGTCCATCGCCATTCACTTGAACATTTTGAACGAAATGCTGTTCGCATAAACGTTCTTCTTCGGACAATGTAAATGACTTTTCGGTGAAATCTTCGATTTCCCAAAAGCGCTGAAGAACCGAGTCGATATTAGAGAGATTTGAACTTAGTGTGACATTACAAATTGATGGGCGTGAATTTGAGGGCATTTCAAAATTGCCACCCACGATCCAACCTAGTTTGCTGTTATGAAGGCATGGTAAACCTTGACCAAGCGAAATTTTGCCATCTTGAAGGCTATCAAAAAATATTTCTGCATTTAGCAATACATCTATACGTTGCGGTTTGTAGAAGTATGGATCCGCAAGTTGGATTTCTTCAGGAATGTTCCATTTAGATGTATCAATAACCTCACAAGGTATATGAGTTGAAATTCGTTTAGTTATGGCGAATTGCGAAATACAAGTGAAATTCCCAATACGAGATTTTATTGTCGCGTTTACTGCATATTTTGAGTTAGAACGAATATCTGAAATACCTGAGATTTCCTGGTGTGAGAAAAACCGTTTAAGCTGCAACCGCTTCGCTGTTTCCTCAGTGATGAAATTTACCTCGGAACAAGAATCCAATAAAGCGCGGGCTGGCTGCATCACTCCAAATTTGTCCTGAATGTGAATTAACGCTCTTTTTTGTGTGCGTGCGATGAGTGAAACCGATGGATTAATTGGATTCGATGAGCTAGACGTCGGAGGTGTTGGCTCCTTTCCTTTTGGTTCTACTGTTTGTGCAGCAGGTGAAGTTGTAGTTGCAACGGAGGCAAAATGAAGATGGGAGTGGTGTGATTGGTGGCAAACACGGCAACGAGATTTCGATGGGCATTTGGATACTGTATGTCCTTTACGCAAACAATTTATGCAAGCACCTGCTTGCTTCACCCAATCAAAACGCATTTTAGCTGGTAGCGCTAGAAATGAAGAACAATTATTGAGGTTATGTTCTGCACTATTGCAATGTATACAATTTGATGTTGCGTTGACGAAGGAATTTGCAGTCTTCTTACCGGATAGTTTACCATCGCGCTGTGTTACCTTCGTGGTTTCCCCTTTTGCAAACGTTTCTAAGTACTGGCTGTGGCGATTCAACCATTTATAACAATCCTCCCACGCTGGCAACTTGTCAAATTCTTGCTTTTGGTTGTATGCTGCTTTCGAATCCGAATCGATTTTCGTTAAGACAATGTGAATTAGCATTGAATTCATTATGTCGCTTTTTGAGCCCAACGAGAGCAAAGAACCTCGCAGCGCGGCAACGGTGTCGATGATATTACGTAGACTCGCTGCGTCAGACCTTTTCATCATCGGAATGTTGAAAATCGAGGTGATGTAATCTTGAAAGATCAGTACGTTGTTGTCGTACCGTTCCTTGAGCCGCTGGATAGCCTTCGGATAATTTTCCTCGGTTACCTGGAACGGTTCGATTACGCTTAGAGCTGGTCCTGAAAGACAGTTCAGAAGATAATTAAATTTGTCAACTTTTGGCATGGTTGGATCGTCGTGCACCATGTTGCAAAAGGTGCGAAAAAAGCGTTTATATTCCGCATACTTTCCATCAAATTTGGGCAATTTGAGTGACGGTAATCGATTATGATGACTCGTATTTCCAAATGCCGTGGCATGAAACATGCTGGTGTTCAACTCAGAAGTGCGGTTTCTGGAGTTGATCAACGAAAGAATTTTGGATTTTGTTGAAATGTACGTTTCTTCAATTTCTACTCTCGAACTGTCTGTCGGAACAAGAGCTTCGATGTTGTTCTGGACGTCGGAGATGTGTTGAAAATAGGACTCAACAATCTGCAATCGACATTCGAGAACATGCGTGTCAGTGTCAACTTCTTCACAACCAATTCGTTGCTTCATGCTAAGTAGGTTCCGAAGAATATTTGAACGTTGTTTTAGTAGCGAGGATAAAAGCGCTTGCTCCTCATCAGACATATCAGGCACGTTATCTTCACTGTTATGAGGCATTTGGAAGCACAAAAAAAAATACAAATACCTGAGCTATGAAGGCTATGATTATGATGTTGTGAGTGTAGCAAACGCAGATGAGGAATGCAACGGAACTGTGTTGCAAACAGTCCAGTGTATGTGACCTGAGACTGCGACGAGTTTACAAAATGTAGTCAACTTCGACAGGTGACGATGAGAAGAGGCGAATCTCCGACGAAAGTTTGAACAGCCACGTGTACTAGGTATGTAATTTGATTACAACGGCAACGACGATGATGTGTGGCAAGAATTGCTACCCACGTCTGCTGATGATTTAGCTATCGGATCGCTCACACAGTTTGAGTTGATGGGAAACTGTCCGCAAATTTTGTATGTCAACGAAAACCAGACTTCCTCTATTGGCTTTCTTTCATTTAAAAAATGTAAGTGAAAAGTCCTTGCTACGGTCGCCAAAATGTTCCAGCCAAAGAAAAAGTCGATGCGGTGATGATTTTACAATATA